TCTATCTCATCTACTATTATTTTAGCAGTTAAGTTTTGTTTTTATCTAACTCTCAAGTATGATAAACAGAAAAGAGTATGATTACTATTGCAGGTATGGATATGTTATGCCCGATGATGTACCTCTTTTGCTGGAGCAGCATATTAGGAAAGGAGAAATTGTAGATAATCTGTGGAGGTAATTTCCAAATCTTATGTCTATTTTACACTACCATTTTGGAGTTGCACAACTACTATTGCAAGCTAAAATTGCAGACATTGCAATTTTGTTTTCAGGGGACAGATGGGATTATCAGAAGAAGACCAGAAAAAATCACAGGAACTAAGGCTTCTGGTTCATGGTGGGACCAATCTGGAAACAAGAGTAAAGGACGCAACGCAAATAAATGATGCAAGTGCCAACATGTGTGGATCTCAATTGGACGGCACAAGATGTTGTCAAGCAAATGAAGGCTCCCCTTGCTGTCAAAACCCTACATTTCAAGAAAAAAGGGAGGATGAGGATTCTGATTTTCCCAAGGGGGCAGCAAAATTTACGGCTGAAACGAAGAACTCCAGGAAGCAAGCATCTCTAAGTAATAATGGCAAAGGGGTTGGTGCTCGAAAGGTGTGCTCAATGCCTACATGGTATGAATGCTGGGAACGTGAAGACACATATGCTGCACTTGCTGTAATAGGTGCTGCTATATCAGTCGCCTTTGCCTATAACTGCTACAAGCAGTTGGGCTAAATACTTAAAAGAGTTCTGTAGTGTACTATGTTGCACATATATCATGCGTGAAGATGAAAAAAAGTAGTTTGGAGCCATGTGCCATTGGAGAACAAAGAAAGGTGTAGATTTACAGGAATGTGGGTATGGTGTTGGCTGGTTTACATTTGCTTCCCATTGTTGTTATGGTTGTATTTGGATCACCTAAAAGACTTTTCTTTTAGGGTTAGAGATGTACATTGTGTTATTAAATTGTTGTACAGGAATTGAACTTTTTACTTGAGTTCGTTTTCAAAGCAATCAATCACTCCATCATCATATGTGGGTGCACGAAGTTCGAAACCTGAGGAACTTTCTTGTCCAAACTTAAATTCTTGCATGCTGTGGCAAGAAACTTGTGGGATACTCTGTTCTTCATTCTTTCATTCTATGAGTCTTGGCGGAAAATCAAACAGAAATTGCGAAACGATCCAGGCCCATTTACAGAAGTTTTGCTAAAACAAGACCCAAAGCCAGTCTTGTGTTGCCAACTCTCATGCGAGCTGTCTTGCAACAGTGAGATGTAAAGTGCTACTAGCCATAACTTGTGAGAATTTCAGGTGGAAAATGAACTTTATGAAGAAATACAATGTCACTGTTAAACGCATGAATACTATATTATGAACTTCAATTTGAGTCCGGAAATATCCAAAAACTTTTGATTGATAAGGAGGTCAACTTGTAATTTTAAGTTTGCCCCCAAACCTGCATAAAGATAATGCAACTCTCCAAAAGCTATTTTGGGAATAGGCTCAGCCAATGCGTACAAGTTTTCATCCAGCTTCAGTCCACGTTTATCTTAAGCTCGTGTAAAGAATGAGAAAGCCCATTTTGATCCCCAAGTCTCTGAAACTCGGACTCAATAGTTTCAGCAATTTTGACATCTTCTGGACCAGGCTCAGGAAAATCTACATGAAATGAACCGTGTTTGACTGGTGCACCAGGCTGCCTGAGTGCAGCTTGCTCCTTAATATAGTTGTACAATTCCTGATGGAAGGCATGATCCAAGGAAAAACAATCACTGACGGTTCCATTCCTAGAATGCCGTGATGATCCTGAACCTTCTCTTCTACAAAAATGTGGGAGTGATTCATAATCCATAATCTGCAATGAATTATGAGTCAGAATTCTCGAAGATGAACAACACATTCAAAATAAGCAAAGTCTATTTGGTTATGCAAGCCAGACTTATGTATTAAGGGCATGTTTGGTTCTCAAGATGAAACTGGGTTGGACGGTACATGTACACGATAGACAAAATTTCAGTTTCTCGTTCTTTCTTACACTGTCAAATCCCCATACCAAACATGCCACAAGGCATTTCTAATGGAATAGATTAACCACAAGAAGGGAGATCAAAGGCCACCATACATGACACCACACATGATTTTCACATAAATCCAATGCAATGTATAATTAAGGGGCACTTTTCCTTCCAAAAACCACGTACCACAAGAGTGTCCTTACCTTCAATAATTCGTCTCTTCCAGAGCCTGAAAGGACCTGCACTTTCTTCCTTGTTCTCTCTTGCAAAAGAGGTTTCACAACCTTCAAACCGGTAGAAAACATTAGATTTTTGTTAGATTTATATCAATTGCATATAACTAACCGAAAACCACAATGTGCACATGTATGTCCCACCTTCCAACAGGCTGAAAATATATATGGAGCATTAACTATGAAATAAGTCTCTGTCTTCTCTGGATAGTTAAGGTCATCAATGGTAGATATTACAGACAACAACTGCACCGGAAAGAGTGCAGGCGATACCGGTTAGTTAACATTGTGAATATTTACTTGCAAACAATAATATTTCAGTATTTAATAAAAGGATAAATAGTTAGTAGGAAGCTCATAAGATGATTTTAAAAAATTCAACAATTCAACACCAAATTTTTGCTTCAGAGAAGAGACATTGTTGATGTGTAAATTAACATAAGAAGAAATATCATAGTGGGCTTTGCAACAGAAGAAATACCTTAATTTGATTTAGTGCAGAAAACTTTAAACCAGTCATGTCCAAAATCTTTATGCAAGTGCCAATGTATCGCCCAAATCTTTTTGTTGCGGAAGGCTAAAACATGAAGTAGATTAAGTCTAAGAAATTTAAGTATTGACAGAAATATATAACATTCTGAATATTTAGTTGCCACAACTTACTAGAATCACACGATCTCTGTATTCATTCATTTGGATGTGTGACTGGACATAGTAGTGAATCTAAAATGAAGGAAACCAATATTAGTGAGCATTACACCTGAAAATGCTTTCAACAATAGATTCCTCAAG